CTTTTAAGGTGTAAATGTTTCCGATATATAAATTTATGGAGATAAACTCTAAACAACTTATAGAACTAATGAATATGAAATCAACTTATAATAATTTTGATGTAATATATATATGATCTTATAATTTCTTAACTACAAGATCCTATAAAAAAAAAGTTGAGAGCGTATTTGTTTGTTGATATGAGTATGTTTGCTTTAACTATGTCGGTATATTATATGTACTGTTTCAAATTTAGAAAAGGACTATGACCCTTTCTTCTATGGATATGATATATACGTTTTCATAAAAGAAAGGGTTGGAAATATAAGGACCTACACATATTTTGACAATAACTATTGGGCAATAAAGTTTGCAATTGCTCCATAATCCCATTTCTCTTTTTGTTTAGTCAAAATGTTACATATCCTCGACTCGTAATTTCCCTAAATTTTTGGTAACTATCTCTCTGACAATCATTTCAAACTAGTGGGAAAAATGCTTATATTTTTATTTGGGGAGATCTTTCCCAAACGCTACTATACCACCATCTATTTGGTCATATTTTCTATTTTCTTCTCTGAAGAGTATTCCGCAGTCGGTAGTACTCTCACAGAAATCTCTTTTATACTAATTCGGCCAAAATATATATTTACTGGTATCTTTTTGGCTAACATATAGACTTTGCAAATCCAAAACTGATTTGATTATCAACCATAAAATGATAAAACCTTCGGATCAAATTCACAATGCAAGAGACGGGTTTCAAGAGTGGATGCATGCTTTTCAAATATGCGACAACTTGGATACTTCACACCTATACTATCATTCACTACCAAATATCAGCTACCACCACCAAATGGCGGTTGAATCAAATATAATCACGATCGACACGATGGTAGTTTTCCATGGTACAGATATGTTCGGTTTGGATAGTATTAGATGAGAGGGGTGTTTACAAATAATCAACATGCAAACAACAAATTTACGAATGAAGAACTTGGTGCATGGCTTATAACAATTGATCAAACTTTTTGCCGAGGCTCAAGTAGTTTATCATGAAACAAAAACAACTTAGTGGCAGACAAGCTTGCCACTTTACTATACAACTAAAATCCTTTTTCTATAGGTCCCTTAATCTTCCACCTTCACGTATAATACAATAAAATGACATTAAAACGATCGTAATTTTTACAACATTGTATCGTAATTTTGTGATTTCGAATTGTAACCACAAAAAATAATATTAAAAAATACTATAAACTAGACATGCTGAAGAAAAAGCACGACTGAAATAAAAAATTTATAAAAACAAACTTGGTCAAATTCGAGTAGACAACCTTATCAAAAGAAGAATTTATATATAATTAGACAAAAGTGAAGCAAAACAAAAAACGTTATCCAACGATTAATGAAACAACTAATTTCTTCGTCAAAGTAAAAAAAACATCGTAATGATTCATAATTATCCAACGGAAAACGACACAGATATTTATAAATAACTTTTTCAAAAAACAAAAATGATTTAAAGTAAAAAGAAAGTAATAAAATATCCATTCCTCTTCGATCATATCCACAGTCACCACCAACACATGTCGCGAACCTTCCTTTGACCGCCACGTGTCAGTCACTTATCCAACGATTCGTCAAGCCTCCGGTTTATACCGTCTGAGCCGGTAGTTTCTCCCAAATCATATGGCTCACTCACTTCTCCTTCTATATAAACAAAACATCTCTCACTCTTTAAAAAAGAAAAAAAACTCTCTTCGGAATCTGAAAAGCCATAATTAGTAGAAAAAATCGTAAGGATCGGGATTTATAAAATCGGATGAATAGAGTGATTAATCAGTTTTCCGGTAAGTTGATGAAGGAGAAGAGTGTTACCGGAAGTAGCGGCGGAGATACAACGACGACTTTAAGATCTGCCGTCAAAGAATCGGTCTCGTCGCAGCAGAGTGCGGCGTCGTCGTCGTCGGTGAGGAGGCTTAAAGGAGATCTGGAATCGAGTCGATTTGGTGCGGCGGCGAGTGAGAGGCTGAGACAGGCGGAGGAATCTTTGAGGACTGTTATGTTTCTGAGCTGTTGGGGATCTTGTTAAATCTGGTTGAGAGAATAATAGAAAAGAAAACGAAACGAAAACGTTTCTGTTTGTGTTTTGAGTTTGGATTTGGTGAAGATCTGTGAATAGTTTTTTTCTTTTCGTTTCTTTGTATTTTGTGTTTTAATGTAAATCATGTATAAAATGAAAAGTAAATCGATGAAGATAATGGTTTGTCTTCACCAAATCAAGTATTTACATGTGGATTGAACTGTAGATTATACAAAATGTTTATTTTTATTAAAGACGATGATACAAAATGTTGGATAGGTTATTTTGTATTTTAATAAACTCCAACTTGCAATCTTTAATTGTCGATTTATAGATAACTAGTATTTTGGCCCATGCTTTGCATGGGCATTTTAAAATATGAAATTATCTATAAAATTGATTTTAATAATATCCAGAAATTAGAATAACTTGACATTCCGTGATATTAACAATAATATAAAAGTACGTAAAAATTATTGCATAGTAGAGTTTTCATTGTTGTTTTTAATCATAACATAAAATGGGTCTTTGTGTTAAAAGATATCAAAAAGGATTAAACTCTAAATCTTTTTATATAGATGATCTAGATTCTTTGCGTTTGTATACACATATTAGGTCATAAACTCTGAATAAATTAAAAGGTAAATTGAATTCTAATAATGTAAAAAAAAAAAAAAAACTTCTTCAAGCACTTGATCATTTGATTGTGCTTCTTTGGCATCTTGGTCATGATTGAAGCATATGATGATATTCCAACATTTTTCCTTGAATATCTAGATCTCATCTTATCAATAATTGATGTCGCTCCGTCAAAACAAAAGTGGACGTAGAAGTGGATATCTGAACATAAAATAAGATGAGAATGATTAGAGTGGTAAAAACATTAGACAATATATAATGTATCCAAATTAGAAGAAGAAGAATCCCACCTTTGTTGCTAATGAATTTGGAAAAACGGGCTTCCAAACTTCTGTTTTTGTTGATGATTTCAATAAAGTTTTGCAAATCATTCTTAAAATTACATGAATTTTTTTGTGTTGCTGAAAAAACTAAACGCCTAAAAGCATTAACTGTTCAGATTTCTTGAGTTACAAAGAGAAGGGGATTTTGACTTCACGTTGCAAACAGTAGTGCCTGCAACTAAATAAAGCATTTTTTTTAAAAAAAAGGAAAAGCCTAAATAGATGGAAAATCAAATTAATCAGAGTGAAAGACAATCAAATTTTATGTTCGTCTTTAAGAAAAATAAAAGATTTTGTGGTGATTTGGGTTACTGGAATCACCTTATGAGAGGAGGAAGAAGACTATCAGAGCCGTGGAAGGTTGGATTGAACCAACAATGAAGATGAAACAGGAAAGACGATTCCATAAAAGTAGCAACATTTTTTTTTTCTTTTGCAGAAGAGAAGGTGATTTGAATAAGGTGAATGGAAGAACAATTGTGATAAATCGATTGTGAGATATACATGGTGATTTAAAGAAAGTGGGTTGGTTTAAATAATTAATGAACGTAGGAAGTTACCGTAATTTTGGGATTGTAGATTCCAAAGGAAAGATCGTGGATTGCAAATAAGAGACCGTGGGATTTTTTTCTCAGCCTTAAAGCAAAAATTTGGTTTTCGAGAAAGGTTAATCAAACAAAAAAAATTTATGTAAAACAATTAATTAAACAAATAAAGAAGAGATCGTGGATATTTTCAGTTTTTGAAAAAGAATTAATGATTTTGAAAAAAAATAACAAATAAAATAATTAATTAGATTGAAAATTGAAGATGACACGTGTCGTAACCACAATTGTTGACTGACTTCTGTTTTATATAATAAAGGATGTAAAGTTGTTTGCCGAGTAAAACTTGATTTCTAAACTCAGCAAATTATCAAAACAAAAATGCTGATATTGGTAGATTTGGTCCAATTGGATGATACTAGAATTGTTTCCCGTCTACATTTACGATAAATTAATGGATAATACGGTTATCGATTCGATGCTATATCGATAGTTTATGGAAACAACAAAATTGTGTTTTGGGTTTAGGATAGTATTGTTGGAAAGCTAATGATGTGGCAAGTGGCATCACTTATAGGAGCATGTAACTTCCAAGCCTTTCACCACTCCATTACTGATGTGGGCGATGAGAAGCTTGATTGCATAAAAAAAGACATATGTTACTTTTGTCACGAATTGTTTTGATTTGGTAAAAATGGTGTCTATGATGACCGGCTTTGAAATATACTTAGAAGAAATAGCAAAGAATAAAGAAGTTTTCTCATTATATTTATTAGAACGAAGTGTTCGTGTAGTCTCGCATTATATTTTGAAATATGTGAGATAGTATAGTTTTGGTTATAATAAAATTATTTGTGTTAAAAGATGTATATTTAAATGATTATCAACCAAAGAGCAAAAATTTACAGCGGGAAAACAAAAAATGAAGATTGTAATTTACATTTTTTTGTTTTGTTTATTAAGTTTTAGTAAACAATAAATTTGTTTACATCAATCTAACCTATATTATATTTTTATATAATAAGATTTTTTTTTCTAATTTACTCTTCAATTTTAAACTCCAAAATTTGACCTATGGTTCACAACTATTGTGTCATAAACAATATAAATAGCATTCTACATTTTTATGTGTACATTCTAATATATATACAAGAATATATATCACCAAACAATAAAATATTTTATATTTACAAAAAGTTTATTACAACATATTTTCTTAAAATAAGAAACCCCGCACGTACGTGCGGGTCATGATCTAGTTGTTTTTTATTGCTAAATTTTTTCCAGAACGTAATCACTACAACAACCAAAAAGTAGCTTAAAGCGAATCCAAAACGCGATCGTGTTAAACGCTATTCCTATCTATCTGCGTTTTTACCTCTTGTTCTTCTTCCGTCTTCTCCACTTCCGATGACTTCCGCTTAATCAAAAAAACACCAACCCGGACTCGAAACCAACCCAATCAAATCCACTTTAATCCTTCCCCTCACACATCCGATCCTCCGATGGCATTAACGGAGGAAAAATCCGGTTCCAATGGTCGCCGTCGGGGCAAATTCAAGCTTCCCTTTCGAAACTCCAACGCTCAAGCTACCTCATCCTCTTCCATGGCTACTTCTTCTTCTTCTGCAACATCTTCTCATCTCAATCAAAATTACATTCATCAATCTCGCCATTTTCAATATCACGGACCTCCTGTCGTCGAAGGCTTGGGTCAAAACCATCACCAATCCGCCGCCACGATCCCTTCCATGTCATCTGTCGCGAGATCACTTCTTCCAACAAAACGTCGATTAAAGCTTGATCCTTCAGCAAAACTTTACTTCCCTTGTGAGTTTCTACTTTAATCGAATCTCATCCAAGACTTTGTTATAATTTGACTGATCAAATTCGAATTTTTTTGGATCATAGTGTGATATTGACTTAACTTGTTTAGCTTTTTCTTGGAATCATGAAATTGGGTATTGGAGATGGTGATGTTGACTTTTCGCTGGTTGGAATTGATACGTTACTATAAACTGTATAAGCCATTGAGCAAACTTTAGGACTAATGTTTTCTTTGGAATAAAATGTGGACCAAATTGTAGAGTGTTGTCAATTTTGAAGATTCACTCTTTATTGGGATGAGATTGTAAATGAATTAGCTTTGTTTGCAGATGAGCCTGGGAAGCAAGTCAGGAGTGCCATTAAGATTAAGAATACGAGCAAGTCACATGTAGCGTTTAAGGTTTGTACTGGATTCAACGATTTGATTATGGTTATTGTTGTCATTGGTGTTTATCTCTGCTGATTATCTTCTCGGTTTATTCAGTTTCAAACAACAGAACCAAAGAGTTGCTTCATGCGCCCGGCTGGTGCTATTCTTGCTCCTGGGGAAGAAATTATCGCAACAGGTATTTGGTTCTCTTGTATATATGTTTCTTTGTACTGTTTGGTTAGGGTATTTTGAGCATTGGCCTCGAGGATTATGTGGTGACTGTTTGTTTCTATGTCTTGTTGGATTTTTTAGTTTTTAAGTTTGTTGAGCCTCCTGAGAATAATGAAAAGCCGGTGGAACAAAAGAGCGGGGTTAAGTTTAAAATCATGAGCCTGAAGATGAAAGTCCCAACAGACTATATGCCTGAGCTGGTATGTGAAACTTGTAGTAACTACTGGTCAGAAAAGAAAAGAATAGAGAAGATAAGATAATATATAAGACTTTTGTTCTTGGATTCTAAGAAGTGTGGATGCTCTTTTGTTTTGCAGTTTGAGGAGCAAAAAGATCATGTCTCTGAGGAGCAAGTTATGCGTGTGGTATTCTTGGATCCCGAAAACCCTAACTCCGTGAGTCTTTCTTCTTCTTCTCTTTCTGGTTCTTATCGCCATCATTTGTGAACTTAACTGGGATCATTTTACGGCTTAAACAATTCTAGATATCACTGATTCTTTAAACTTGTTACCTCTCTCTCTCTCTACAGATGATGGAGAAATTGAAGAGTCAATTGGCTGAAGCGGATGCTGCAGATGAAGCACGGAAGAAAGCATCAGAGGGTGTTGTTGGTCCAAAGCCAATTGGAGAAGGGCTTGTGATCGATGAATGGGTGAGACGCAATGCCATTCTTTTCATGTCCTTACTCGTCTTTTTTTTTTGTTTTTGTTTTATAAGATCACAAAGAAAGTGTGATAATGATGTTTAATGCGTTTATCTTCTGTACTATTTACCAGAAGCAACGCCGAGAGAGATATCTTGCACAGCAACAAGGAGGAGTAGACTCGGCTTAAAACTTAAAGACTACCAAAGACCAAAAAGTGTGTGTGTGTATTTTTTTTGTTTTGTGCCCGATCAAAATCTGTTGTGTGACAAGATAGAAAATTGTCTCTATGATCAATTTTCCTTGTAATCCCAAAATTATTTGCAGAGGAGATAATCGTGTTTGGTAAATGAAAACCCACAGACAGGAGTCTGTGATCAAACCACTCTCGTACGAAAGATAACTTCCAGTTGGCAGAGTTCTTTAGAAATTTGATTCACTATAGTAAAAGAAAACTCTACGTGTCTTCTCCATCCAAAAGGCAAATAAAATACTCAGCATCAGCAACCGCTAGAGAGAGAGACAGAGAGTCATTACATATATTGACCTTGGTATATGCCGCCACAACACGCCAACTACAACCACCGATCACGAATACATCAGAATATTTATTCTCAGAATACAAAGAGGAGACATTCTTAATCACCCATGTGAACTTGTTCTCAACTTGATCCCACATTGAATCTTCTTGATCAAGGCTTCTCGCTGCCGCAAATCGGATTAGCAGATAATGATGAATGAAGCCCTAGATAATAACATAAATCGTGAAGATCGTTAAGCCACAACAAGTTAGTAAATAAGGCAATTAAAACTGGTTGTAAAAAATAAGGCAATTAGGCAAATAAAAACTTTGCGTGAACAACGCTTACACGTCACTACACATACGTGTCAATTTATAATTGGCTATTGCTTCACCGGCGTGAATGAGTCGTCCTCGTCTTCTCTTTTCTATAAATTAATAGCCAAAGACATCTTCTTCTTCACAATTCAGTTTCCAAATTTCTCAACAATCTTAAAATCATTCTCTCAAATCTCTCTATCGTGATCAAGGTAAATTTCTGGATTATTCTTCTGTTTCTTCGATGTTTTTCGTTCGATCATGATTTAGTTTCTGATTGAAAATCTTTCATCGGAGACGAATTTCTGAGTTTCATCGTTAGATCTCATCTTAATTCACGATTAGGGTTTGTAGTTTTCGTTGATCTGTGTTCTTACGCGTTGTTTCTTTGAATTGGATCCGATTTGTTCTAAGAAATTGAGTTGTATCTGTGAGATCTATCCAGATCTGGTATTAGTTTCTTGATTGGATCTGATTCTTGTTTGTGCGATCGAATTTTTCGATTGATCTCAATTTTTTTCAATTCTTGTTTGTACAGATGCAGATCTTTGTTAAGACTCTCACCGGGAAGACTATCACCCTCGAGGTGGAAAGCTCTGACACCATCGACAACGTTAAGGCTAAGATCCAAGATAAGGAGGGTATTCCTCCGGATCAGCAGAGGTTGATCTTCGCCGGAAAACAGTTGGAGGATGGTAGAACTCTTGCTGACTATAACATCCAGAAGGAGTCTACACTTCATCTTGTTCTCAGGCTCCGTGGTGGTATGCAGATTTTCGTCAAGACGTTGACTGGGAAGACTATCACTTTGGAGGTGGAGAGCTCTGACACCATCGACAACGTGAAAGCCAAGATCCAAGACAAAGAGGGTATCCCACCGGACCAGCAGAGATTGATCTTTGCCGGGAAACAACTTGAAGACGGCAGAACTTTGGCTGATTACAACATTCAGAAGGAGTCCACTCTTCACTTGGTCTTGCGTCTACGTGGTGGTATGCAGATCTTTGTGAAGACTCTCACCGGAAAGACTATCACCTTGGAGGTAGAGAGCTCTGACACCATTGACAACGTGAAGGCCAAGATTCAAGATAAGGAGGGTATTCCACCGGATCAGCAGAGGTTGATCTTCGCCGGAAAACAGTTGGAGGATGGTCGTACCTTGGCGGATTACAACATCCAGAAGGAGTCGACCCTTCACTTGGTCTTGCGTCTACGTGGAGGTATGCAGATCTTTGTGAAGACTCTCACTGGAAAGACCATCACACTTGAAGTGGAGAGCTCCGACACCATTGACAACGTCAAGGCTAAGATCCAGGACAAGGAAGGTATTCCTCCGGACCAGCAGCGTCTCATCTTCGCTGGAAAGCAGCTTGAGGATGGTCGTACTTTGGCCGACTACAACATCCAGAAGGAGTCTACTCTCCACTTGGTCCTCCGTCTCCGTGGTGGTTTCTAAACCTGGTCTCTCTCTGTTATGCTTACATGTTCATGTCTCGTTTCTTCTAAAACTTCGGTGGTTTATGTTTTGGGGCCTTGTAATTCCCCTAATAAATAATTGATCAATTATGTTTCGGTTCCTTTTATCTCTCCTTTCTTTAAAATGACATATCGAACTTACTTTTTAGTTTGATGAGTATGAAAAGTAAAAAGTCGATCAAATGTTCAGCTCTGCAAAACTTTTCAAACATCTGCTGGTTTAACTTCTTTGACGGTGTGTGATAAACAATCACCTTATGTGTGCCTGTAAAGTGCAGTGCGATTTAGAACAAATGTTTTTAAGCACTTTTAAAGACATGTCCCAGCAAAAACTGGGGACAATACAATGAGATGTCTCAGAGGAGACTGCAAGATGCTGAGACTATCGATAGGCATCTTGGTTAATGAGGGAGATGAAGTTTCTTTCACCTTGGTTAATATTGTTATCTTCTTTAGAATTTCTGTTGTGGGAAGTATTGAAACTTTGAGGGATTGACTCAGTTCATTAATGATCACAGTTCACAAGTGTAAATAAAATGAATATTTCTCTCTCTTTTTCAATCAATCAAAACATTATAATGATCCAGTGGGTTTATACAAACATCAAAATACAAATGACTAAAATACGTTTCCTTGGACCTCTATTTAACCAAAACTTCTGGAGAAATACTATTAGCAAGAGCCCCAAGTTCTGATATAAACAGAGCCTTGTCCTTCACTAAACTATGAAACTTTTGTTCGATTCAAACTCAATTTCCTCTCCATCTGCGACATTGTAACACAATTCCGCACTTTTCTTCAAAACAGAGCGGAGAAACTCATAAAACATGAGTACATGACAAGACAGTACCTTTCTCTAAGATTATATGCACAACATAGCCGTTTCAGACTTTCAGTACCAATCATCGTAGTTGGAGCTCTCTTCCTAAATCAGTAAAATCCTAAGCGATATTAAAGCCTCTCTGTTTGCATTCTTCCACAATCTACTGGCCCAATAATATTTTATTCAGCACACAAATACATATGGGCTCTTAATGGGCTATATGGTAACTCGATCAAACGCTTGGGTTTCAAGTTATGCCGCCTCGTACACGTTAGGGTTTTAAGTTATGCCGCCTCGTACACGCTAGGGCTTGAAGTTATGCCGCCTCAAAAACCCTCTATATAATAGTATCAGATTCTCTTCTCTCTTTCTCATATCTTCAACCACTTTTTTAGGTTTTTTTTTTTTTTTTTGATTCTCTGATTTTTTGAAATCGTTTTATGTTGAGTTTTGATTTTTAAAACCCGATGAAGAAGAAATCCCAAAAGATAGGAAGTGCCGTATGACACTTAACACAACAGCGTGACTTCTGTGTCTGCTGTGTGGTTGATTTGACAAGGGTCCGCTGAGGGTTTTTTTTTTTTTTCTTCTAAATTAATTGAAATTGTCCGATGCCACGTCGAAGGTAGCTCTTCTCTTTTTTGGGTGGCTATGATCCTAGCCCCTGTTCTAAAAATCCCCGCCTAGCCCCGATTACTCCCCGCTTAATCGCTAGGCCCACCCTATCCGCCTCGATTAATGACTAATCCCCTAAAAAATCAGTAATCCGATTATTCTCCGCCTAATTCGATTACTTCCCACCTAATCCGATGATTTTCCGCCTAATCTTATATACCCCGATTATTTTTTAGATCGCAAGTATAAAAAAACTTTTTATTTTTGTTATTCAATCATTTGAATGGGGAGTTTGTGATGTTTTACAATAACTTGTGTTCAAATTTTAATACAAATCATAAATTTGTAATAAAAATCATAAATTTTTACAATATTGGATTAATATATTTTAAAAATATTAAAATAACCCTAAAATTAATCCTCGATTAATCCCCGATTTTAATCCGATTTTCCGATTAATCGCTAGGCCCATGCCGAGCGCCCGACTAGCGCCTAGCGATTTTTCAAACAAGGATCCTAGCTCGACGCTATATTGTAGGCCTGGGCGTCCGGTTCGAACCGAAATAAACCGAACCGACCGAACCGAATCTTTTGGTTTTCGGTTTGACTTCAAGCTCAAGAGATAACCGATCGGCAAAATTATGATTGGACTTCGGTTATCGGTTCGGTTCGGTTCGGCAGACGGTAACCGATCGGTTTTCTCGGTTTAAGGCTACACCATATATAAACACAAAAACCCTAGATCTAAGTCATTCTTGTTTTTTCTTTTCCCGCAGCCAAAGAGGAGATCCTTTCCTTTCTCCTTTTCTCCTTCGATCTTCTTCTATTTTTCTTAGATTTTTCTTCCCCACCTCTCTTCTTATCTTCTACAACTCTCCCTATTTCTCGTTGAGATCGTGTCCTAGACGAAGCTCTTCATCCTTCGATCCCTCGCGATATTCAGATAACTTGTAAGCTCTCCCTTTTTATCGTTAAACTTACTTTTCATGTACTATCTATGCTTGTTAGTGTCTTTGATGTGTTTTACTCGTTAAACAGAGTCTTTTGATGCTTAGAGATTTGTTCTATTGTCAGATCCGGTGGATTGGAAGAGAGTAGCGGCGGAGAGATCAACCGTTTGTAACTGTGGTCTTGGTTCTCGGTGGCTTGGACCGCCGCAGTCCGCTGTCGTCGCCGCACATCGTCTTTTCTCGCCGCACATTGGATTTGGGCTTGTAATCTAATAAATTTGTTTTGTGATTCATTTAGATATTTTTGGGCTTGTTATCTTTATTTGGCCCATTATTTTTGTAGTCTGTAATTGAATGTATTTGTTATTTGAGCCCATTATTTTAATTTTTGGTCTAATTCGGTTCGAATAAACCGAATTAGAATAAAATTCGGTTTATTTCGGAATTGATTTTAAATCCTATAACCGAACCGAATAAACCGAGAACCGAACCGACCGAACCGAAGTTTTATTCGGTTAAATTCGGCAGATTTTTAAAAATCCGAATAAACCGAAAAACCGAATAAACCGAACCGATTAACCCGATTTAACCGAATGCCCAGGGCTACTATATTGGACATAAACAAATGTTCGTGTTTCGCTTACTGATAGGAACCTGTGGATCTTGTTTTACGATCTACAGAGCCATGGCGATTACAATTTCAATTTGTTTTTTAAAAAACTAGTTTCGATTTGATTATTTGGGAGATTACCGATGATGATTTTTGCTAAAACTATGGAATTACCGTCTGATTTTATTACTTTGATGTGAAAAACGCTGCCTTACTGAGGATATTCCCAATTCATAAAAAAATAAACTTTTTGATGAAGTTTTTATGTTCTATTTGAGTTATTTCTTATAATCTTGTACATCAAATTATTTAAGTTAAGCTATGAACCAATTAGAAAAAATTATTTTAAGTACCAATGAAAAGAAAAAGCTGTTCAAGAAATTTTGTTAATTAAAGACAATATTGACTAATAAAAGTATTTAACATCTACTGGTTAAAAAACTCCCGCAAACGCACCAATTTTCAACCGCTTAACCAGTTGTTCAAAATGCATCATAACGCTTGAAACCGGAACCGCCCGCTTCCGCAAACTCCCACAGACGCAACCGCACCTGCTGCGTTTAAACCAGTCAGGCCCTAACTTTTATATTTACGAAAAAGCTATTCAAGTTGGGTTTTCACGCAAATTAAAAAAAAAACAATTTTTTTTTTAATTATTTTGTTAGTTTAATAATATTAATTCTACATCATTCTTAAAAAAATGATGTTTTGGGATTTTCACACAAATTAAGAAAAAATAACTTTGATATTTTTATTATTATCTTGTTAGTTTAATAATATTAATTCTACTTGTCTTTTCTCTTTATTGGTCACAAAAGTAATAATAATGTGGAACAAGAAAAGAAAAAAACGAAGAAAAATCTTAAAACATCAATCTTTATTGAACAGATGAGTATTATGAAATTGAATTTTATACTTGAGACTACTACCAAAAAGGAATATCAGCAATCAATCAATGTGTATTAATATTAGGCTTTGCCTAGTACAGGAGGGAAGAATCTGTTGAGGTTATAGGGCAAAGTGTATAACTCTTCAATATGGTTGTCTCCTTTGAATATTCTGAACTTGATCCACCAAGCCATGCCTCTGTCTTTCTTTTAACGAAGAATTTAGGTATGGAGATTCCAAGAAATAGGAGAAATTTTCGCAACTGGTAACTATATTTTCTCTTGTTATATGTGTTGCTATAACCTGTTTGATCAGAGATTTTTGAGCAGTGGCCTAAGAAGATTATGCGGTCATTGTTTCTATATCTTGTTGATTTCTTTAGTTTTCAAATTTGTTGTGATTGGGATGATTAATAAACTTTTATATTAATATAAAAAAGAAAAGAAAAAAAAGATCGGGGTTTGGTTTAAAATCATGAGCTTTAAGATGAAGAGCCTGATAGAATCTAATTAGTCTATCAGATTTGCATGAGCCTCATTCGTGAAAAAGGTATTAACTGGTCAGAATCTAAAGGAGAAGATAAGATAGAATGAGACTATTTTTGTCATGGGTTTGTGTCTTTGCAGTTTGAGGAGCACAAAGTTTGAGTAGCTTTGAGTTAAGGGTGAATTAGAAAATTTGTGTTAAAATGCACATTGAAAATGTAAAACGACACTTTTTCTTAAACCGGAACTTTTTTCCCTTTATTAATTTGCCATTCATGGTCATTAAATTGTGATTTATTGACCATTTAACTCTTTAACCATTCACCATTTGTCCCATTCACAAGCTAAGGATCTTAATCTTTCTTCAGCCTCACAAATGACGGAGTAGGAAATAGGGCCCATCGAGCTCCTGACAGGGTCTCTTGCCATCTTATAATAGTCTCGAGAATGCAACCACATAACACGGGAGAAACGTTTGGCAGCTGTAGCAGGACGTGGGGGGCAAGGATACCGGCCACCAAATAGAAGAATAAAATAAACATCAAGATAATGATTAAAGAAAACCATTTCACATGCTTAATCACAATACCCACGCCAAAAACGAATGCCAATGGCATGCAGAGTAGAGCAAAAACCAGTAAGGGCAAGGCTAGCTTTAAGGATGAGGAAACTAGTGACGGATCACCCAACTGCGCCCAAATTAGAGTACATATTGTTGCAAGGGAGCTTTGCATTGCCAAGATGTCAAATAGCAGGAAATAGAAGAGACTTGGGTCAGTGGCCAAAGTTGCCCTGCCCAAGTGTGGACCAGAGCTGTTAAAGCCACCTGGTATTGTAAAACCTGCAGCAAAGGTCATTGTGGCTACAAGTGCTGCTACCAGTAGAAGAGTGTTGACGTAATCTCTGCTCTTTTCATGGTCTAGTGGCTCTGATGGTTTTGTTAACGACTTTACAGATCCAGAACCCTTTAACTTGTGAGCGTATAATAAGAATGCCACTGTCAACCTCTGTAATTGAAAAAAGGTCAAGCTATAAAATCACACTCATGTGGAATTTTAAATGTGTTGTATGATATAGGGAATAAGACATACCTCATGAAAGATGTAGTTGGGTTTCAGCACTGACTCGGCAAGACCCCTAGCTGTTAACCCGTTATCGTTCCGTAATTGCAGTATCTTTACATCCGAAGCTAGCTGTCTAATTGATCGGTAGCGCCAATTTAGGGTGGCAAGGTGCAAAGGTGTGTTACCGTTCACATCTTGCCCAACAGACAGATGTTTCGTTTCATCTTCTAACATTAACGATGCTACAAGATTATCTTCCCCAATCTTTGCTGCAATGTGGAGAACGTTCTGGCCAAGTTTGTTGAGCATGTGTTTTGAATGTGGACAACGTTTTAGAATCTCTTTGACAATTCTGATATGGCCGTTCTCTGCAGCCGTATGTATTGGAAAGGAACCATCTTCGTCACAGACATAAACATTCTTTGTTGATCGGTCTAACAGGTTGCATACTCCTTCATAAAACCCTATGGATGCTGCAAAGGATAGACAAGTCCTTCCTTCTTCATCTCGCTCGTCCTCAAGACTTGGATATTCGTTAAGAATAACATCAAGGACACCTGCTCAAACAATTGGGAACAGCAATTAGCATAACGCAGCTGGTTTTACATAGATATTTGAACAGACTAAATGCCAGCTACTAGTGGGTAAAGCGAGAAATAAACCTGTACTTCTGGCATCCAAAGCAACATGTACAAGATATTTTCTCCCTTCCAACTTTAAATCTAAGTTAGAGTTCCTCCCTTCAAGGTCATCGTTGCCTGTGGTTTTCAAAATTTCTTTCACAAGAGATACATCTCCAGCTTCTACTGCCATGTACAAGGAAGATATTCCCTCATTATTTTCAAGAAAAGAAGCATTCTGGTTCTCGTTCACCAGAGAGGCAGCCATCTCCATATAGCGTCCTTCAATGGCCAAGTGCAGAGCAGTATTTCCATATTTGTCCTTGAGAACATATGGATTCAGTCTCTCCCTATCTTCTACAGCCAGTCTATCTGAAAAAAATGTTACCGACGCAACAAAAGCCTCAACAATAGCGGAATGACCGGCATGAGCAGCCACATGAAGCGGAAGCTGATCCTTGGAGTTTGTTTCCAATACAAGGCATGGACATTCAGAGACAATGTTCTTCACTAGTTCTAGATGACCCCATCTAGCAGCAAGATGAAGAATTGAATCTCCTCTATCGCTCTTGAGACATGCCATTGGCGTCCCATGGCTTTTCAACTTCTCCAGACACTCTTTGTCCCCATCACTCAGTCGGCTAAAAATTTCCGTATTCATCTGGACATTTTCACCAGGGAGATCGAAAAGATCCGACAATTTAAGGTTGTTGAGGAACTCCAGCCCAGATTCGGTGTCTCCCGCAGATGGCGTGGCGCCATCTCCTCCTCGTGAACAGAGTTTGCGTGCGACTTTGTTTATCAGATTCATGGGGAAGTATCTTCCTTTCCGTTGGTCATGAGACACATTCGTTGACCTCTGTGCCTCAATTCTATCAAGATGAGCTTCAGAACTGTCCATCTCAACCCTAAAATCATCACACAAATCGTTTGAAAAACAGATTTAAGTTCCCAACCACCAAAATAAGAGTCAATGATACCAAGAAGAGGAGGCAGAGAGGGAGACTTACCGAGTAAACTAAAGAGATGAAAAATGCAAGATGATTTCCTAAAGCTTGACAGGGGAAAGAGACTACAAGTTCGCCCGTTTATATTAAAACTCTTGAACGCTTCGTCGTGCCATGTGCGTCGCGAGAGCTTACTGTCCTGTGTAATGGTCACCTATAAATTAAGGGAAGGTCTTTCTTTAATCAGAAATAATTAGAGTAAGCATCAAAGGCAGAGTTAATGGAAGCCAGGTCTTTTATTTTAAATCAGAGAATGTCAACGTTCTTATCGTCTTAACCCTCAAACTTGACATTGTCTCAAACTAGAAATGTAATTCAGTTTTCACATGAGATACTAATAAAAGATGTCTTGAAAAGCGTGAGATTAAAAAAAGACCTGCTCATTAACTTATAATTAAAGACTTTGAAAGTCGTCTCCTAATTTGAAATTTTCTTTTAGGTAAATTGATCTTGGGATTTTAATGATAGCTCTCAACTATCAACCGGTCAAAATTTAAATCCTTGCAAAGCACATTATTAGAAAGAAATACAGGGACACAAATATACCTGTTCCATGAAAGTAATAGCAAGTTTTTGCTTTATGACGATCTTAGTATCTGTGCCAACCACTGGTTTCTGAACTAATGCCATCTCTGTCCTAAAATACTGAAGGAAGTTTATAAAGTATAAGAAACCAAATGCTTTTCTTTGTTATTGAAACAGCCAAACCCTATAACACTTAAGCTATTCATTTCCCATAGCAGTATACAAGTTTCTTTGAGAGTAAGACAAGATGGTTTGGTTACCTCATACGAAAGAGACTGTTGCAGAGAGCTTTTCATCTGTGGAGAGCAACCAGATAGCAATCTTTGATTACAATTTAGAAACACATTCATTCGGAACCCACATTGATTGAGACCAAATCAGAGCATAGAAAATGCAAACACCCATACGATTCGGATAGACACAAGACAAAGAGAAACAAGAAAATTGAAAAGTTTGAAACTTTAAAGGATTCAGGAAGAAACCCACTTTGATTCTGAACAATTAGGCTTAGAAGGACTCACACACATGGCTGACCGAGATAACTGAGTAAAGATTTGTACAACGAAGACGAAGAGAGAAGACGAGTCGCAGGAGACAGAGATAGGGAGACGACGTCGTCTCAGGAGGAATAACAAAACCTAAGTGGTTTAAGTTAAAAACGACGGTTAAATTAGTAACCGACGGTTCAATCGGTTTTCCGCAAACCGATCAACCCGGTTTAGGGCTACGTACTTGCACAGTCAGGAGACTCAGAACTGGGCTAAAAGTCGCAGGCTTTAATGCCCATTTTAGCATCCGGATTTACATTTTTCATATTCCTTTTTAACGTTTGAAATGAGTAATTTTAGTTAAATCAAGTGGTAACGCGATTTCACCGGTTCCCTATAATTTTTCTTAATACCGTATGTTAAATCATTATCATACTTTCATCTTCTTCTTTTTTTTGGTTTAATGTTTTTCTTTCTTTTTTTTTTGGACAAATTTTGGTTTTAATGTTAAGAGTCATACTTTCATCTTTATTGCACGATTCCACAATTTGCATAGTTATAATCATAATCTTAAGTAATCAAACTCTAAACATTATGTAAAAACAATTAAATGAACTATAATTAAGCCAAGTACTGGATTAAAAGACTTTACATTATCTGGAAAACAACCCCTAAATGTGGTGTACTCTATGATAAATCATTATCAATGCTTTTTTTCCCCTATGGTCGTCCTTAGGCCTGGGCATATGGGTAACCCGTTCGGGTTCGGGTAAAACCCGTTCGGGTTCGGGTTGAATGGGTAATGAATTTATGGTCCATTCGGGTATTCCTATGGTTTCGGTTCCGGTCCGGTTCGGGTATTGTCGGGTTCGGGTCGGTTTGGGTAATACCCGAAGTTTAAAATCACTTTACATACTCAAATGATCAAATAAAGAGAATAGAACATCAAACATGACATTTAAATACTAAATCCAATCCAAAATAACAAAGATGACTATTTCACTCTTAAGTGTTAAGAGTAGATTCTAATTATCTATATACATATATAAACATATGTGTATTGCATATATATAAGTATATAACTATATAAGACTATATATCTATATACATATATAAACTCAAACGTCTAAAGTCACAAAACCTAAAATCTAGGACATACATATAAGTATATAACTATATAAGACTATATATCTAATTATCTATATACATATATAAACATGTGTATTTCTTCGGGTTTGTGGGTACCCTAAATGGGTAACGGGTAATCCCCGACCCGACCCGATACCCACGGGTAATCCAATACTCTACCCAATGAGGTAATTTTCTAATACCCTAACCCGCCCCAACCCGATTTTTTCGGTCCGGGTATCGGTTCGGGTATCGGGTCCGGGTTTTTTGCCCAGGCGCCTAGTCGTCCTTATTATTAGTTTTCTCTTGTTCATCATTTCTTTTGGAAAATATTCATCTGCATGAAAACATTATTAAATGGATATTTTTCTATGCCAAAATAAATTGATATGTGCAGTTTCTTGTTTACATTTTTCAAGTTTGCTAAATTTTATTTGGTTTTAAGGTTAATAATTTTTGTTTTTATCAGAAACACGAAATAAGGGACTAGTTTCCTTTTGGGTCTTTTATGGCCCTCACGGTACTGACTTTTTAGATATGCATGACAAAATCTAACCCTTACCTGACCAAATCTTAACCCTTATGAGTCAAGGCTGTCAAGCAATACCGTATATTGTCCACTTAAACGTCAACAATTATACTTTATTAAAGGACTTAACCACGAAGTAGGTGCATGAAAATTCCTATGCGATTTCGTAGCAAAGAATATACAAATATGTACTAATGCGTGTTAAGCAATGTGCCACAAGAAAATGAGACAAGCACTTATATATTTACACACGTAAATTATAATCATACCAAAAAAAAAAAGTTTCATTTTCTCCAAGAGGTTCCAAAATGCCTAAGGTACGCTAAAGATTTCTTCTACTAAAAGTCTAAATAAATACGGAAGGTTTGGGATGAACTTATTAGCTAGTAGAGTATTATTTTTTTGAAGAAAAGAGAAATCTAGTAGTAAATTTGAAAATATTGGAATTTTCATGAGCAGAAAATCTTGATGTCGGTAAGTATGAGGTGCGAAAAATGTCGATCAGAAGCTCTCACGATCGGAGCCAAAACCACTGGTAAGATATCCCACTAAATCTTAACTAAACAAGATTTTGATTGGTAACCTTTGGAATGTATTTTTTATTTGCAAATGACTGAATCCTTTCTAATTTCATCATTTAAAAAAAAAAAAAAATCGCTTAATATGTATTGTATTCCTCTTAACTTATATCCTATACTATTATTTGGGGAGTACACTTTATAAGATACCCTTAACTAACCTTCCTTTTTGTAAGAATTTACTTAAGAATGCCATTACAAAACTCTTTTTTTAGAACAAATTTCATTCAATTTATTAAGGATAAACAAGTAAAATACTAATTTATGTCATTTAATTAATTTAATTAAATTATAAAACGAAAATCTGTTATTTTTTTTTTTTAAATGACCAATCAAAATGAACATATAAGATTTGATATCTAACTTACCATATTAATTTGTTATTAATCATTAAACTTCACCTCTCATCTTTATATGATTATATTAATATGAAACAAATAAATCATCATATCATCTACATAATAAAAAAAGTATTTTTTTTTTCTGCATATGCCAAGATTTGAATTTTTAAAAACGCATATAAATTGTTCAATTTATAAAGAAAACAATTAAACGGGTCAAAAATTTAGACTTGAGTAATATATTTCTTTTACACAAAAATAAAGTCAACAAAAATTTCGACTGAGCAACGGGTCAGAATTTGAATATTTATATTCGATTTTATACATTTATTTTTTTGAAATATATAATTTTATATACTACAATAAAAATTTAAATATTTTAATTTGCAACATTTAAAATAAGTTTTGCTTGATATTTTTAGAGAATATCATCAATACTTAATAGTTCAAAAAGTTAAAAGTTATAAATACTCTAATTTGATTTTTAAAAAATATTTATAATAGGTAGCGGGTTAAATATAACATATATGATGAAATGAGTTTTGATCCTTATAACTATTTGAATAGTTATATTTAATTTCATAGAATTTGTTTTTTGAAATTCATAATTTTATAAACTACAAAAAAAATTTAAAGATTTTAATTTGGAATATTTAAAAATAGTGTAGAACATTTAAATATGGTTTGACACCTCTAAATATTTGAAAATTTGATTCCGCAAGCAATTTTAGAATTAACGAATAATAGATTGTGCACGCAATATTTTAAAATAAAATATTGAGATTCTAAAATAAAAATATAGACTCCACGCACGGGTTGATTTTGGTATTATTATATACTAAATATATGTTTATAACATATTCGATTATGCGAATAATTGGTAAATTCCGTAATTATAAATCTCAAACAAATTCTGTAATTAGATTAGCTTAAACAAATCTCTATTTCAACAACCAAAGAATTATAAATTGAAAAAGAATTTTCTAAATTAATTCAAAATAATAGCTAATTTTCTTAATTAATTCAAAATAATCTATGTTTTATATGCGATTCATTTATGATATTTTAATTTTTGATCTAACTGAAATATATGCAATCATATTTTGTGGTTGTTAACATAAATTAACTCATTGTTCAAAAAATATTACTTTTTAAAAAATAAAATTATTTTCCATTTTCATATCTTTAAAAAAAACATCCATAATTGAGTATTATAGAAAAAAATTTATATTTATTCTAATATTGTATATAGGGACTGACAAAAAAATTAATATTTTTTCACTTACTATTATAATATATTAAAACTTAGTTCTAATATATATATTATATAAATTTTGTAATAAATAAAATTCAACCCGTACTTTAGTACGGGTGATGATCTAGTGTTCTTTTACAAAGACATCATTTCATCATTTGGAGCAGGTTACACTTAAAAAGAATAATTTCATCATTAAGATAGTAGAATAT